GTGTGGGTGTGTGTGTGTGTGTGTGTGTGTGTGTGTGAGTGTGTGTGTGTGTGTGTGTGTGTGTGTGTGTGTGAGTGAGTGTGTGTGTGTGTTAAAGGTGTTTCTCCTGGACTAAATCATCTTCCTCTTCCTCAGGAACCAGGAAGCGTAAGAACAGCGAGAGTCCTGGAGATTCGTGAGAATCGTTCAGATTGAGCTTCAGACACACAGACTCTGAATCAGTCGAAGCTGTGAGAGAGTCGAGCCGCAAACACACAGACATTAATGCTGTTCAGATGGAGACTGTGTGAATCAGAGACCTGCGGCTCATCCTGACCTCGCTGACCTAATCTTTTATTTATGCTATATATCATATACTTGATCCTGTACTATCAAACTAAGACCAGACGGCTTCAGTTTCACACTGAGCTCAATATTCAGATTATAAACGCTGGTGCTTCTGATGTGTCTTCAAGGATTTCTGCTACAAAAGGTCTTGCCTTGGTTTGTCTGGTTACGCTATTAGATCTGAGCTGTTTATAGTGTTTTATATAATATTAATGTTGCTATTATGAATTTTATTTGTTATAATAATTATAATAGTGAATATTTATTTTGAGACATGTAAAAACAATAAAGTACATTTCTGATGAATGTGTGTGAACAGAACTGGATCTGTGTTGAAATGCGTTTCTTCAGGGCTGATGTTAAGATGATGAAGAAGTGGTCTGTCTAACATCTAAATTAACATCTAGAGTCTACACACACACATACAAACACACACTCTCTCACACACAAACACACACTCTCACACACACAAACACACACAATCACACACACACACACACACACACACACACACACACTCTCTCTCACACACATGTACAAGAGTCTCTGTCTCTGCACTCACTGCTGATTTCTCTCAGTGTGGAGACAGGAGAGCTGTCAGCAAATGCATGAGAAACAAAGGAACTTGCGTTACTTATTTGCAAAAGTAACTTTTTTAGTGTAAGTATCAAGTACTGAGTTACTTGAAAAAAGTAATCTGATTACGTCCTCGCGTAACTTCCAGTAATAATGGAGTACTGACTGCAGTGCGGCGGGCGGCCTGCGGGCGGCGACAGAGCGCTGCGGTGTGATCCTCCATCCGCTGCTCAGACTGCAGAAGAAGCCGCGATGGAGGCCAGTGATGCAGGTATGAGCCGCACACACTCAGATATCATCACAAACATCATCTCACGTGTGTGTGTGTGTGTGTGACTCTTCTTTCTCTCGTTTGCTGAGGCGATGTTCGCGTGGACTGTTTATAGCGATTAGCCGCTTCAGCTGAAGCTCACTCTGTTATTAGAAGCGTGTGCGAATATAACTCGACATCGCAGCAGCTTCATATTCCGTGTTTCATGATCGATATATGTTTACTTTAAACGCTAGTCAGGTCATGTTGTAGATCCTTAACCTCGCAGCTGACATGCGAATAAAGCTGCACTAAAGTCAATCTGAAACCGGATTGATCACTAATGATATAAATATGAGCATTACTCGCGTGGAAATCACATTAATCCCCCAAGTCTAATAAAGTAGTGACTAAATTAGGTTTTTTATAATTTGTTGTTGACGTTTCGTGAGAACGTGTGTGTGTGTGTGTGTGAGTGAGTGTGTGTGTGAGTGAGTGTGTGTGTGGTGAGTGAGTGTGTGTGTGAGAGAGTGAGTGTGAGTGTATGTGTGCGTGAGAGAGTGTGAGAGAGAGAATGTGTGTGTGAGTGAGTGATTGAGTGTGTGAGAGAGTGAGTGTGTGTGAGTGTGAGTGAGTGTGTGAGTGATTGAGTGTCTGCGTGTGAGTGAGTGTGTGAGAGAGTGAGTGTGTGTGAGAGAGTGTGAGAGCGTGTGTGCGTGAGTGAGTGTGTGTGTGTGTGCGTGAGTGAGTGTGAGAGTGAGTGTGTGAGTGAGTGCGTGTGTGTGTGTGTGTGTGAGTGAGTGAGTGAGTGAGTGTGAGTGAGTGAGTGAGTGTGTGTGAGCGAACCGAAAGCATTTTCGGTCCAAATGAAGTTCTTAGCAATGCATATTACTAATCAAACATTAGGTTTTGATATATTTACAGTAGGAAAAGTACAGAATATCTTCATGGAACATGATCTTTACTTAATATCCTAATGATTTTTGGCATAAAACAGAAATGTATAATTGTGACCCATACAATGTATTGTTGGCTATTGCTACAAATATCCCCCAGCGACTTAACACTGCTTCTGTGCTGCAGGGACACACATATAGACTTTTCCACGATATCTGCACGATTGCACACGAGATACTTATTTTACAGTTCAGTAAACAAGACGTTAATAATGTCACGTTTTAGACAATTTCACCAATGAGAATCTTTCAAGAAAGAGCTGGGTCTGCAGCACGATTGTCGTTGAACAAACTCAGGGTTACAGGATTAGTTACTAGTTGAGTTAAGTAAACCAAACCCCTCCAGTCCTCAGCTTTCTCTCTCAGCTCTGGCTTTGATCCAAACGAATGTGTGACATCAGAGGCGAACAGCCAATCACACGCCGTACAACACAGAGAAACATTGTAGCTCAGCTGGATTGTGTTGACATGCTTTCTCTCTGATATTAATGAAACTCATGTGCGTCCGACTAAACACGATCGTTCTGGCGTGGTTTAAAAGCACCATGTGATCTGCTCTCTCTGTTGGGAGCGTCACGGAGCTCTTGTAACCTTGCGTGTGCTGATGTCATTTCCTGCAGCATCGCCCGGCTCCGCCCCCAGCGGATCTCAAGCTCAGAAGAAGAGCGTTCTGATCGGCAAGCGTCCGGGTCTGAGCGTCACCAGCTTGATCAGTCAGTTCAGAAACTACTCTCAGTGCAAGAAGACGATGCTGCCTGCGGCCCGACCCAGTGTGTTCAGCTCCCCCGATGCCGTTCTTGTCTGGTACGATGATCTGGGGACCAGTCCAGATGTTTCAGCACTCACTCCGTCTCTCCTGCGCAGGTTCTTGTTTGAGAAGAGCAGTAAGGAGTATCTGTACTACCGGAGGAGAGTGGCGGAGATCAGACGAGACGCGGCAGCTCAGGCCGAAGGTGAGCGCTCAGAAACACACAACTAGTCTAAATGTTACTGGATTTGACCTGATGGTTGTGAGACAGAGAGAGAGTCACACATTCACAAACCAGACAATATCTGGGACTCTTGAAGAGTTAGGAGTCCGTCTGAACCCTCGCTCTCGCGTTCATGAATCCGCTGGTGCTTCGGGAGCTGTTATGTGTCACATACTTCTAGTCAAAAGCTTGGAATTAATAACACTTTTGTATATTTTTAAAAGAGTCTCTTCTGTTCATTAAGGCTGCATTTATTTGATCAAAAATCTGTAAAAATAGTTAAATATTATTAGAATTTCAAACAGCTGTGTTCTATGTGAATATGTGTTAAACTGTAATGTATTTCTGTGATGTGCAGCTGTATTTTCAGCATCATTCCTCCAGTCTTCAGTGTCACATGATCTTCAGAAATCAGTATAATATGCTGAAAAAAAGAGAAATGAATGCTTTTATTCATCAAGGATGCATTAAATTGATCAAAAGTGCCAGTAAAGACTTATGTGACAAAAGATTTGTTTAAAATAAATGCTGTTCTTTTCAACTTTCTATTCATCTGTGAATCCTGAAATACATAAATAAAACAAAAATTGTAAAAACTGTTTTCAACATTAATAATCAGAAATGATTCTGGTAAACTTTAAACTCTATGCCTTGCGATGTAATGTAGTGAAGTGTCCAATGAATTAAGGAGATACACACACATAATAAAAATAGAATATAATATACTATCAAGATGTGAATAAAATATAATATAGTAGAGAGAAAAGAGTAGCGCAGAGTTTTTTATTAAGGTAATATCTACAGAACTAAAAGAACAATTATGGCATTGCAAACAAACCATAAATAAAAAAGAAAGAAGAAAAAACAGCAAAACAAACAAAGAGAAAAGTTAAATAGCAATACATGCGCAATATGCTAATTGTAGCTCTATGGAGGGAAACGATAAAGAAATCACAGGAGACTTTAACGGTTTTATTAAATAGCAGAGATAATTATGAAAAAGAGATGTTCAGTCTTAAAGGACACGCCTCATCCGTCTTCTGTAGACGTGTGTTCAGTCGTGTAGTGTGCATGTGAGCAAACTCGTGTGTGTGTGAGAGAGAGACTGTATTATTGAGTGTGTGAATGTGTGTGTCTGTGTGTGTGTGTGCATTAGTAACTGCAGGTTAAATGCATTCATGTCTTGTGTGTAACACGTCTAAACGCCTCTTCAGACGCAGCTTCTGTGATTCCTCTGCACTGCAAAGATTAATTTTACTAATACTGATTTAATTTGCTCGGTAACAGCCCAAATGTCTTATTATTCTAATTCACTGATTAAATGTAAGAATTTGACTCCAAAGATAATGGACACTTTTGGAAAGAATTGCTTTATAAAGGTAAAAATGCCCATAAAATGTAAAAATCTGTTTAAACTTACTGAAAAAGATTAATTTCTATCAGTGTGAACTGAGCACACAGAATATGAAGAATATTAAAAACTTTAGGAGTCAGCTGTCTTCGGCAGTGCTTAAGAGACCAGCACAATAACACGCTCTAATTATCGTTATCCATAAAATCACAGAAAATATCAAGATACAATTTTTTGTCAATATCGCACACCCCTAGAGTAATACAGCACTTAACATGAGTGTAGAAACAGCGTGTGTGTGCATCAGATGCAGGAGATGTTCGACATGATCATGAAGCACAAGCGTGCGATGCAGGACATGCAACTGTTGTGGGAGAAAACCATCAAAAACCACCAGCACGAGTACGACAGCGATGAGGAGCTGGATCCTGAGGACGGAACCTGGGAGCATCGGCTCAGACAGATGGAGATGGAGAAGACCCGAGGTCAGAGGTCACCGCCGGACACACAGCGACTGAATACACATTCATGATGTGCTGCTTTTGAGGTTTAATGCATGACACATGCGTGACGGGATGTGTGTGTGTGTGTGTCACAGAGTGGGCGGAGCAGCTGACGGACATGGGCAAAGGGAAGCACTTCATTGGTGACTTCCTGCCTCCGGATGAGCTGGAGAAGTTCATGGAGACGTTTAAAGCTCTGAAGGTGAGACTGATCACGTCATGTGACCTGACACCCACAGAACCTGTTTGAAAACAGGTCAGAGTTCTTGCTTTTGTTCCTCTTTGGATTAAAGGGTCTGTTAGATGCATAAATGTGACGCAGAATGAAGTAGGAAGCAGCTGGTGATTGTGAAGGTGTGACGTGTGTGTATTTCCTGTCGTGCAGGAGGGCAGAGATCCAGATTACTCCGAGTACAAAGAGTTCAAGCTGACGGTGGAGAACATCGGCTTCAAGATGCTGATGAAGATGGGCTGGAAGGAGGGCGATGGTCTGGGCTCAGATGGACAGGGCATCAAAAACCCTGTCAACAGGTGAACGGACACACACATACACACACACACAC